GAGCTCTTCCGTGGCCAAGTACGGTGTCGTCCGGTGGAGAAATGCTCGCCGAGATGATCACATAAGCAATGTCAACTAGTACGGATGGTTACTTATTTAAACATGTTTTTGAGCTAGAATTTGATGGATATTTGATAACTTCAGACCTACAAATGTCATCTACAAATGTTACTATCCTCGAGGTGGCACGTCCTGTAGGAGTTTATTTAATAGATATATTTTTTATTTTTTGTAGATATATCTAGTGGAGTAAAAGTTAGATGCCTGCCCCGAGAGACAACATGGATGAAGAAATGATGGATATTATCAACACCGGCACTCAATTTGCCGATGGTGACCAGTAGGATTTAGATGACGGGAGTCAATACCTGGCTCTTGAAGATAACCAAGAAAATATTATGCAAGAAAATACTGGCGAGGTATATATATTTATATATATATTTGAATATTATATATATATATATTTGAACATCTATCATCTATTATGTGTACACATGATATTTATTTATTCTTTTTTTATACGTAGCCCTCTGGATCGACGACCACAACGGCGAAAAGCAAAAATATTTGAGGCCCGAAAAAACCATTGGAGGGGCGCTACATAATATCGGAATTCAATATCGAGACAGGCGAACCACTTGGTCCACATGCAAGGAAATTCGTGCAACACTGTGGGTACCTTATAAGGGATAGACTTCCGATCAGTGCCCGTAAATGGAAGCAAAAGATCAACGAGCCTCATGTTAGTTTTGTCTCTGATCTTGATAAGAATTTAATTTGGGATGATATCCTTCAACATTTCACGTTGCAAGCGGATGATTATGATGCTATCAACGATGATGAATTGAAGGAACTAGTTCGAAAGTGGGCTATGAAGAAGATGGCCACACAATTCCAGACTTGGAAGAAATCCCTATACACGAAATACGTTAAGAAGAACCTAACGCCTAATTTCAATACTAGCGGCCCACTCGCGAAGTTGAGGCCCTACTAGAATGATTTTGTGCAGTACAAGACATCGGAAGAGGGTGAGGAACGGGTGAGAAGGAACCAAGAGAATGCCCGATAGAAGGTATACCACCATGGCATGGGATCAGGTGGCTACGCCACTGCTATTCCCAAGTGGAAGAAAATGGAAGCGAACATTCTTGCCAAGGGTATCACACCAGAATCACTCAATTGGCCCAAACGCGCGAAGAATTGGTTTTTCGCTCATGGGGGAAGACTGGGCCTAGAGACCGGGAAGCTAGTTCATGGCACAAAACTCGAAAGAGCAACACAAAGATTGTCTTATGTGCTACAAGCTAAAGCTATTGGTGCGTTCAGGCCCAATAGAGAGAAGGATGAATCGACGTATGCCCTCGGACCGCGGCGAACACAAAGTAATAACGAGAGGTTTAGGATGGAACATTTCTTGGGAGCATGGTTTCCACGATGACGAGAGATACCCCACTGAAGCCGATAGAGAAGGAAGGATGAGGATCTGTAGCGGATCAAGCGTGAGTTGAAGGAATTGGTTCGTGAGTCACGGAGGCGTTGCTTCAAGTGAGCTAAAAAAAAAAGACATGCAAGCTAGAATGCATGACGAAATAAGAAAGCAAGTGCAAATAGCAATGAGTGCCCAAAGGCGGGCATCGAGATCCGAGAATCAACATTAATATTAGCCCCCGATCGGGTTGAAAAGCAATTGCGCGCTCCACGGAGTTGCCAAATCAAGATGACGCAATGCTACGTTTCCCCGTGGATGACATCACTGCACCGTTTACATCATGTGAGCTACATATTCCAAAAGAGAATGCCACAATCATGGTGGCTCTCGGTGTTTTTCTCCTCCAGATCCTACCAAGACACCAAGAATCTACGGGGCAATAATACCACCTGGATATGTTAGCGTCTCAGTGGATAGAGTTAACAAAGGTTTTAGTGATCTGCCTCTTGACATTCTAGGAGGTGATGGGGAGAAGACTCTAAGAAAAGCAGAGAAGACATTCATACTATGGCGCAAGCGCTACATCATTATTCCTAGGGTCTCTAGTCCACCGCCGCCTCCTCAACTGCCAAACAATAGGTGCGGACAAAAGTGAACGAAACAATTTTTTCACAAATTTTCTATTGACATGCATGATTAATAATAACAATTTCTTATATAATTATTCTTTTTTGTAATCACACAGCAGGGCCTCCGCCAACCTAAGTCCAATTATTCAATCTCCAGGTCATCATAGTGCTCCGGGCAATGATTATGCAACGCCGCCACCGCCGCCACCACCAAGGAGGTCTCCAACACCTCCAAGGAGGTCTCCAATGCCTCCAAGGAGGTCTCCACCGCCGCCACCTCCAAGGAGGTCTTCAACGCCTCCAAGGAGGTCTCCAACGCTTCCAAGGAGGTCTCCAGCTCCTAAGACATTCGCCCCACAAACGAAGCCATTGGCCCACCAACCGGCAAAGAAGAAAGCCTTCTCTAATCCAGTTATTCCCCGAAAACTGTCTTACGAGAAAAGTGAAAAGGAATTAAAGGCTGAAGTACAAAAAGATCTGAAAAGTTTCTTTGAAAATGTAAGAAAGCAACGACAAGTGAAGGAGAACCCGGAGAAACCGTACTTCTACCTAGCTCCAGATCTTCTAAGAAGGAAGGTGGACTAGAAAAAGCGGGAATCTCAAAAGACCTGGCCAAAATTGGACTACGACCGCTCTCTCACCAAGTTATTTGAGGCGGCGCAGAAAAAGACTAGAGCAGGGAAAGGTGTTGCACAACTCGGACAACAATCGCAACAATCAGTCCCCCCTCTTGTCATTCGTAATGAATATGGTTCAAACTTAGACTTACCGGACATCGATTTTGAGGAACTGGTTTGGTTTTACGAGGATATAGGTTTCGACCTTGACCAAGTGCTGGCTGAAGGACCATCTGCTCCGAAAGTGGATCCTTGGAAGAAATCTGAACATGAAAAGAGTCTATACAACCCTGAGGCCTTAGGTGAACTGGGTACGCAAATATACCTGCTAAACAAGTGTTACATGGCGGCGTGTAAACAGGGAGAGAACTTTGTTTCTGTCAGAATTAGAAACCAACATTACTTCCGTGGCGATGATGTTATACATGTCGAGTTTGGAGAATTACACCAACTATGTCACCTGGACTCTCTCGACAAAAGTCTCATTAGCCGCTATTGTCTGTAAGTGTGATTATTTTCTACTATTAAAGTGTATATATATAAAGCTACATGTATATATATAAATTATATATCCTCACACTATATTTTTATATATGTAGATATGAGATGATAGAACTCAGAAAGAGACAGGATAACGATGTTGATTTCGTTGATCCAAATGTCGTATTCAAACACCCCGATCCCCCGCCGCCTGGATGGAAAGCTGGACTCGAGAAAAATCTCATGAGGTTCTTAGTGAACCAACAAAACAAGGACATACTATTCCCCTACAACTTCAAGTAAGTGTTAAATAATTAATATCGATCATAAGGACATTTGTTCAATTATTTACTTACTAGCTAAGCTATCTCCCACATATACATATGTTGACTCTAGTTAATATCGATCATATTTGTGTATAAAAACATATGCAGCAATCACTGGATATTGATGGTCATCGATATGGCCAATAGTCGGTTGCGCATCTTAGACTCGTTAAGAAAAGAGCAAACAGACTACCAATACATGATAGATATTATCCAAGGATAATTTGGTCTCTCTAGCAACTATATATACCCCGATCTCTTAACTGCAACAATTATTAAAGGTCAAATTAATTTTTTATTTTATTGGGCGCAGTGTTTGGAAAAGTTTCATTGAGGAACAACACATGAAACATTGCAAAGCGCCACTGGATGTAATCACACAAAAAGTAAGTACCAACTACATTTATATATATATATAATTTAATTAACATCATGCATGCTTTCAATTCACCGGATCTTTTTTCTCGTAAAAGTGGGTTCTGAGGCAAGAATAGGGGAACAACTACTGCGGATACTATGTTTGTGAGTTCATCATGGTGTACTAAAAAAGAACTCCTGAAGAGAACCTCAAAGTACGTTATATAAATATATTCATATATTTACAATTTCTTTTATTGCTAATATATATAAGTAATCACGTGACCAACACACACACACATATATATATATATATTAATACTTTTCCTTTAACTTTTATTGAAGACTCTATGGTTGAAGAAAAAAGTCATACGACATGACCAACTAAAAGCAATTCAAGAGACCATAGCAGGATTTCTTAATGACCAGGTCCTCAACCCCGCCGGCGAGTTCTACAATGACGTCAACGAAACATGGAAGCCAAACCAGATGGAGTGAATTTGTTATCCCAAGGATATGATAGAATATACAATGCAATCTTTATTTGTAATATATATATATACATATTATATGTCCATAAAATTATGTACAATATATGTATATGCATGTAATATATACGTTAGTTTTATACTTTAGTTTGTACAAAATGTTCGAACATTATAAACGTGTAGAATACGTATATTATTAGCAGCGTAGAATGCGTATTCGAAAACCTATTCGAAAACCAAAACGAATCATCAATTGAAAATAGAAACAAAAAAAAAAAAAAAAAAAAGAAAACATTTAGTCCCGGTTGGTAATACCAACCGGGACTAAAGGGACGACCCACGTGGCTAGGCCGGGAGGCCTCTTTAGTCCCGGTTGGTATTACCAACCAGGACTAAAGGTGGACATTTAGTCCCGGACACGAAACCGGGACTAAAGGAGGGGCCCTTTAGTCCCGGATTCGTGCTCCCGGTTTCAAAACCGGGACTGAAGGGGGTTGAGAACCGGGAGTACAACTCGTTTCTCTACTAGTGATGAAATATTGGCTACCATAGTTGGTGGCCATCCACCACCAATTGATGAGCAACCACCAGCGTATGCTAAAGCTTTTTATAGGATGGTAGAAAGTGCTGATCAATTAGTCCATGAGAGTACAACACACCCATCCCTTTCTGGTATGGCACGCGGGTTGGCATTGAAAGCACAATATAATATGTCAATTGCACACTTTGAGGCAAACTTAGAATTAATCCATGAACTATTGCCTGCTGAATCTAAGTTGCCCAAGGACTTCTATCGGTCAAAAAATCTATTTGAGGGTCTTGGTATAGCATATGTCAAAATTGATGTTTGTTATAACAATTGCATGCTTTACTATAAAGATAATGAAAGTAAAGACAAATGTGATATTTGTGGCACCTCCCGCTATGAAACGGTAATGGCAAAGTGCCACGTAAAGTGCTACGTTACCTTCCCATCACTGATAGGTTATAGATGTTATATTTGCATCAGGACACAGCAAAGCTGTTGCGGTCTCACTACCCGTCCACTTCTGGTAAAACGGTGCACCCTTGTGATGGAGAAGCTTGGCAACAGTTTGATAAAGATTTTCCAGACTTCGCTAGTGGCCCTAGAAATGTGCGTGTTGCCTTTGCAACAGATGGTTTTACCCCCTTTGGTTTAATGGCAGCTCGTTTTGATTCAGTATTTTGTCACCATTTAGTGTTGAATTCCCTTTTCTACTATTTCCTGCAAGTTCAATATTATGCCATTAATTTCCTTTTGATTCACCTATATACTATTCTGCTACCTCCAGCATATTACAAGGATGTGCACATCTTGTATTCTAATCAATTTCACTACTTTCTTACTAAATTTGCAAGTTGACATATTACAACCCTAAAGACTACAAGTATGGTTTACAGGTTGGAGTTCTTATCAAATGGTACTATACTGGTATGATTGATATCCGTGATGACCAAGGCAGGATTGTTGAAAAACGAGCAGCAATGCCATGGCATGATTATTACTACAAAAAGGATGTCACTGGAATAACATATTCTAAACTAGTCAAGTGTGAATTCTAGGTAATTAAACTATCCATCATACATACTGATTGCCCCTTCTATTTTACTGGAAATAGCTGACATTTCCTTTGCTACATATGTAGACTTTGTTCAAGGTAACCCGAGCTGATGTGAGAAAAGCTGACCGTAATTTGGAGGCTTATCTACTGAAAAGAGTTTTTGATTTGATATATCAGGCTCGTTTGGATGCTGTAAAGATTCATGATGACTGTGATGACAATCAAGCACGCGCTATACATCTTACAGAACAACAATACATAACCAGCAAGCTAAGTTGGTGCGCTAATGATGCTTGGGTCTTTCTATCGAGGCATTGGACATCTGAAGAGTACAAGACAAAGAGGAAGGCTGCTCAAGCTTCACGCTTAAAGTCTGAAGATGTTGCTCATAATAGAGGAGGATCGAGGTCATGGGGAGAGACACAACAATTGTTGGTATGAAATCCTTATCCTGTTGTCTTTTGCTTATACTACTAAGATTGCTTACATCCAAATGTGAAATCTCACACACATGATTTCACATAGATTTAGCTGGCCTAGGTTTCAAACATCATGTAACTTCATTCCATGGTCTTGTAGGAATATAAGTTCGGCCTTGAGAAGGCTAGCACTTTGAACACATGCTGTAATGAAGTCCGGATTCAAAAAGTGGACATTAGTGGAAAAAGTGCTCCCATTCCCAGCTAGAGAGCACAAACCCGTTTTGTATGTATCACTCAGTTTTCTATCTCAATTTATATTTATATGCTTCCAACCTTGCTGATTGTATTTTTATATGGTTACAGCCTTACTGATTTCATACATATTTTGCTTTGGTATTTTTTTAGATGACTACAGTGCAAGAACACAGCTTCATGAAAATTCAAAAGAATTGGATGTACAAGCATTGTATTTCATGGAACATGGAATGGCCCATGGACGCGTGCCAATAGCTGATGGTTATGTGGATAAGGAAACACTTGCAACGACTGCTAAATCCAATCGTTTTTGCTCAAGCAACACAGCTGCTTATCAAGTGTAGTACATGAAAATGAGCAATTGAAGGAGAGGAATGATGCACTGAATGAAACAAACAAGAAGTTGAATGAGAATAATGAGATTCTCTTTGAGGAAAATAGTATTAATCATGAGATGATGCTGGTAATAATCATCCCTCTCCATGTTACAACTTACTGGTCATATGTATTGATCTGATTTTTTTGCACATCAAATTTCAGAGACTTTTCGAGGATCTTAAAAAGCCTCTACCTGCTGATCTGATGAACCGTCTAACAAATATCGATGCCCATTGTCATCAGGTAAATTGTTTTGCTATTCTCTCCATGTACGGTAGGAGTATGTCAATAGCCATGTAGAGTAGTTGAGCCTGACCTTGTAGTTATTCAACTACTACACCTAGATGTATACTCTATGGAATGGAACCGAGAGAAGCAGTCCAATTGCTGCACTTGTGTGTGTATGCTCTGTTATCACCCCTCTTCTCCCCCCTCTAGCCTATAACCAGCTCTCATGTGCAGGGAGGCTGGCTGCCAACATAAATGTTGTATTATTCATGTCTGAAATTGGTTAAACAAATGGGAGTCTAGTTTTGGATATATCCTTTACACTTGATGTTTTAGATAAATAAATGTGACAACCACTTGCTATTTTGGTAAAATAAATGTGGCACCCACCTGCTATTTTAGCTAAATAAATGTGGCAACCATCCTTTTTACTTGAAGTCTAAGACCATGATTGATCTTTTTTAGGTTTCTGCATCATCACATGTCAGCACTAACCCACTTGAAATACTCACTAGTGCAGATATCGTGGACACTGATGTTGATGATGATGACTACTATGATGAGATGAATGACAGCAACAACTATGATGATGACAACCATAGTTCTGATGGCTTTGATGAAGATGATGGTAGTGATGACATTAGTGGCAGTGAAGATGCCGACATGAATAGTGGTAATGAAGAGGACAACATAAATGAAGAGGATGACAGTGATGATAATGAGGATGATATCAATGATAATTGATGCAATGGATGGGAGTAAAACCTGAACATGGTACCATCGAACTTTTGGGCTCTTTTGATCCAAACTAATGGATGCTAGGCTTATTTTGCTAACCAGCGACCCTAGGTTGAAACAAAACCTTTTGGTGTTGTACTAAGTAGACCTCAGAGCTATGTAGGTGCTGGGACTTGTTAGTTGGCTATGACTATAAGACAATATTGCCTTTCACCAATGTAATGGTGTTAGAGACTTTGTAATATGTTTGGAGTGCAATTGTTGGACACTTTGTGATATGTTTGGAGTGAAGTTAGTTGAATATATGCATGCTATGAAATCTGATTGTATTTGTGTTGGATTGACTTTTGAAATATGGGTGCATTTGGGATTTGGGTTGAAAATTTTCCTGGAGGTTTTACTCTCATAAAATAAATGTTCCTGGCAGCAGTTCTGGACTCCTAGGAAAACCATATTTCATGAGGGTTTGAACATGTTTTTCTGGTGGTGTTGGACTCCTAGGGAAACTATATACCATGAGGGTTGAACATGTTTTCGTGGTGGTGTCTCCCTCTCATGAAAACTATATTTCATGATGGTTCAACCATTTTTTTGTGGTGATGTCTCCCTCTCACAAAATACTATTTTCCTATGAGTTTTGAGACTCTCGCGAATTAATTTCATGACGGTGACCTCCATGAAATACCGCCATAAAAAGCTACCTGCAAACCTGATGACAATGTAATTTTTGTGGAGGTGTCCGTCACGGACGTTCGCCACGAAAAAAATCGTGAGTGTTAACCCTCATGAAAGCTGTATTTTCATGGCTTCATTATCGTGAGGACTAATGCGTGATGGTTGGTTGTCACGTATTGATTTCATGAGGGTAAAACCATATTTCGTGGTGGTATTTCCACTCTCACAAAATCTCAGCTTTGTGGTAGTGATGAGATAAAAAAATAGTTGTCAATTGTGTGCTCACCGCATTTTACTCTTCCCACCACTCAATGGAAACCATGATACACCCACTGATAGGATCCCTCCCTAATCCAGTAGCTCCCATGTTCAAAGTTTTCCATTGGTTATATTTCTTTTTCATAGTATCCCATCTATTCTTCATTTCTTCGCAAAAAAAATATATTCTTCATTTGTCCCTCATTATAAGGCCTTTTGGCACGTTCAAAGAACTTTCTTTCAAGATTTGCATAGCCAAACTATTCAAGCAATGTCCCAGCTGCCTATTGTGGGCAAGAATTTCTTCCACACAAATGTCTGAAGGCCTTGGCGGCAAAAGAATCCCATTTTGACTAAACTTTTGTTGACTTGTCAATTTAAAATCTCCACGGACTAATAAATATGTAAAACATGAGCATTTAGCATTACATTTCAACTTTTGAACGAAGTTAATATGAACCACTAGACATTTAGCCATGTGCCCTAACCATGCTATCCATCTTCAATCCATCCATTCGCAATACAAATCAAATCTACAATCCATACATCTATCAGATTTATTATGAAAAGTACCTGAATAGATCTTGGATAAGGGATAGCTGAACCAGCATGAGGACGGAGGGGAGCATAGAGGAAGCGGGGTGCCTTCAGTCAAAGAATAGGAAAGGGCGATGGGGGAGCACAAAGGGAGTTGGCCTCCACCGACCAGATAGATCTAGGTCACCTTCGGTTGTGCGGGGAAGATGACGAGGAGACAAGGAAGCTGGCCTGAAGACCGGTGAGCGAGTGAATTAATAGAGAGTGGCGGCGCCTTTGATGAGCAATGCCGGCGAGCGGACGGGGAGTGGCGACATGAACCGAGGCGGTGACGGCAGGGAAATCTAGCATGACTACATGAGTGGATGGGGGAGCGATGGGGCAACGAACGGAAAGTTTCTCGCAGTGGGGGAATCGTGACTCCTCAGCCGCGGTATAGAGCACGCAACATGAAGTTCAATTGGGATTATTTTGACCTCTTGGTTCCTAGAGAATCTGAAAACAATAAAAAATGTTTGGGTGGGATTCTTGATTATTTTCACCGAGAATCGGAATTTAGCTGAAACAAACACGCCCAACCATTGATCGATGATCTACTAACCATGTGGAATGAAGGAATTGAGGTGTGGGACACCAAAAAAAGAATGTTTCATGGTGAAAAGATTAATTCTCGCTACAATCATTGACCTGCTGCAGCGTGGCTGCTTGTTTGGTGAAGCCACGAAAGGATATGAAGGATGTGTTAGTGCTTGGACAACACTGATGCTAAATGGGCGAACAGCTGCAACATGGCCTTACATAGGTCACCGTAGGCAGATGCCAATAGCTCTAAGTCATGCTTGGAGTTTATACCAATAGATAGAGTAAAGACACATCGAGAGAAAACAATTACAATCAAATAATTATATGAAAAATATTTGCAAAGGCTGAATGATATTTGCATAAAAGATATCAATAAGCAAATTAACTACTTCCGCTAATTGCGTGAACCAATTTGCTAATATTGTGCATTTTAAAGATTTTAGGATAGATTAGAGAGAATATAAAAGACGCATGTGTCCTCACTTTATTTTCTAATTAGATTCTATCATCAATATATAATTAATAGTGGTTGGTTGATAAATGATAATTATAATACCTATCGAATTTATGCAACTATTTAATATAAAACTATTTAATACTTGAATACACTATATTACAAGATAGATGGATCGGAGTATAAGCCTGGATGTTTAGAGCGTATCTCAAGGATCCGACAGTGATAGTAACATAGGTTAATTTACATCCATATCTATAAAATTGCTTAATATGAAATCCCCGTATATACTCCATATGAAGCGCTTCGAGGCTCAATGCACAGGTAATAATCCACGGATTTATTTATAGTATATTCATACTATAATGTTATGGAGGTGGAGACGTGTCTAACCTGTCCATTTATATTGCTTTATTATGAATGTTGAGTATGCTTGACTTCTCGGGAAATAGGAACAAATAAAAAGGAACAGAGAGAGTATATCATCACATTAGATCATCCTCCTAGCACCTCATCCCGCGATCTATTGTCACCATGACACCATGGTCGGTCCATAGTAAGAGAGAGCCGTGTAGACTCCTCTTGGAGATGCTGTCCTAACAGTACGTGTGTAGTGTCCAAGAACAAGAAACCTCACGAGGACATGACACGAAGGACCACTTGAAGGGAAGGGTCATCAGGCATGACCGGTGGTGATCCAATGCAGCATTCCAACATTAATTGAACATTGGACCTGCAGGGAATGGAGCACGAACAGCTGTTCAAGTTGACAAGTTACCAAATGTGCCTTGCATGCTCTTCCATGGATCGGCCACTATGGCTCGTACAAAAAAATTAAGTCAGGAGAAAAGGTGCCGTGCATGCATGTGCACCTCTACAAGGACTTCGTGCCCGTACCCCGCCCTTCATCTCCGTACGTATACCCCCGCGACGACCACAATACGCATGCATGCAAGGCAGCAGCAACGCGTAGACGGCGTGGACGTTTTTACTTCCTACCTCGCTCGTCCTCGGCCGTGGCAACAGTTTCCTCTTCTTTTTTCTATTTTTGACGCGTTCACCGGCCTCTCCTGCAGACGGAAAGAGTCCACCTCCTCACGGCTGACCTGGGCCCGTGTCTCTCCAGTGCATACTGTATACAAGATTTTTTTCCACCGCCTAGAGGTAGCTTGTTGAAAAGTCGCAAAAACCGTTAGAACTTAGAACCTACTCCATTTTGTCTTTTTTTTCGAACAAGCTTTATTTAAAATAAAGTTTCGGTCTTTCTAACAAGACGGTCACTAGTAGAGAACAGACCTTTCATCCGATACTAAAATAGGCTCTAGTCCCGGTATTTTTTTGCGCCCGGGACTAGAGAGACCTTTAGTCCCGGTTGGTGTCTCCAAACGGGACTAAAATGGCGAGAGGACCTTTAGTCTCGGTTGGAGACACCAACCAGGACTAAAGGTGGACCTTTACTTCCGGTTGGAGCCACCAACCGGGACTAAAAGTCCTCAACCTTTAGTCCCGGTTGGTAATACCAACCAGGACTAAAAGTAGACCCTTTAGTCCCGGTTGGTAACACCAACCCGGACTAAAGGACCCTTTAGTCCCGGTTGGTAACACTAACCGGGACTAAAGGTCCCCCGATAGGTTAGTTCAAAAGGGAAACATCCCATCCATTGTTAGATGTGTTGTGTAGGTGGGGTGGTAAGCTACGCGAGGCAATGCATGGGGTCTTGGGTTCGAATCTCACGGGACGCAACGGTGGGAGGCATTATTTTTTTAAATGGGAGGAAACCTTTAGTCCCGACGGGACTAAAGGGGTCCTTAGTCGGAAAAGAAGAAGAATCAGATCTTTCCACGGGAGTAGCTCTAATTCTCTACAGTGGGTACATAACAATTACAAATGAAATAGAAAAAAAAGAGAAGAATCAGATCTATTATAAACATGGAATAATCTCATACTCTAGATACAACTCAAAACCACCAATCAACCTACGCTCCTATCAGACTATCACAGAGAAAAGCTTGACGCGGTTGCTTTTATTTTCTTGCACTAAAAGCAAGATGGTCTAAGTTCATAAAATTCCGATGTCCTCCTACAAAAGGAACTAAGGAAGTGGTGAATAGTTTATAGTTCATAAAAACACCTCACATGTCTCTAAAACTGAGACCTGTCGTCCTCCACCAACCAATCAACTGGTGGTAGCACATGACTGGTAGATATAAACGAAATCTGATGTAATGACCAGATGATTTGTCTTCCTTTAAGCAATACTTGAGCTTTTTCCCACCAAAAGCCCAATCAAAATGGAGCATCCCTTCTCGTCTTAAACAATAGAAGAAGCAACAAATTTCCTGACAACACCTTCAAGTAGGTAAAACCATGATGCCAGCCACACCAGAGGAAGGGTTTTCACCAGCAACCTCCTACTAGCAGTTCACAGTAGTGCAGAGCACTCAACCCATATATGGATGCATGGATCAAACTAAAAACGAGTGTTGCCCACTTAACCAATTCAGTTTTAGTCAGCTCTGGTAATCCATTGAGATACTTCACTTGCACTCTATTAGCACAAAACATAGGATCCAGCTGTAGTTAATACAAGTACAACTGCCGGGATTCAAGAACATCCCAAAACACATAGACACGAGTTGAGTAAAACAATTTGAATCTGTTGAGTTAAGATGACATGGAAGGTAACATCACCATATATGTCAAGTTAATTGTAAAATTCTCTCTTCTATTTCAATTACTAAGCACAATAGGCATGCATGCCCACCTACCTGTTTCGTATATTTCACTGACCGTACCGGAGCTTGCTCAGGTGGCTATATAACAATTAATAAGATCAAATGCGTAACCCAAAATATAGATTTATTATGTCCGAAAAAGATGCAAAAAGAGCTGACACAAATTAAGCTAAGGTTCAAGAAAATACATATTCAAACCTATAGAGGTGCAATGCAAATGACGAAATTAAAACAACACACATAGAGGATCAATGCAAATGCGATGCAAATTTACGACAAGCAGATAGAGATTATAGAGTATCTAAATTAATTAATTAGTATTGTGGTACGAAATAACTAGATATAGATCATAAAGATAATTGATTTTTTATTAGTTGCATGCATCTGGGAAAGTTTTAATATATACTTGTGCACAATGTAGTAAAATTCTAGATCTGAGAACAGAAGAACTGAACACTTACACATCAGGTAGCAGGTAAAAGAGACTAAGAGAGGGTCCTAAATTCTAACAGCACAGTTTCTATCTATACAGGAAACGCGAAACCTCACGAGGACACGAAGCACCAACTGAAAGGGGCCAGAAATGTAGAACGTGGCCGGCCGTCGCTGACCTCCTCAGCTCTGATCCTCCGCGTTATTTCTTCGTCCAACATTGGAGCCATGGATGGAGCAAAGTGGTTGCATGCATTGACAAGCTACCGAATGCCGTGCATGTTAGCCCCTCGATCTCCGGTATGGAGATATCCGACCACTCTTTAGTGTTGCCAAGCACACACTAACGATGTCGACCACGAACTGTTGTTGCCGACCACACACTATGGCTAGAGGTAGAGGAAGGGAGGGAGAACAGAGCATACACACACAGCTGAGACACCAGCGTTGACCGGAGCTCTGTATAGGAGATGTTAAATCTGAACTTGCTCTCTTTACTGAGTTGCAATGGCAAACTATATATACAACTATATCCATCTAACACTTCTACAGACATGTTAGGCTGACATGCTGCTACAGTGACTAGATGTGACAGGAGGGACTGACTTTGGCGCCTACCCCTGCTATGCTACTATAGTGTGGTAGGTGAGCCATTCGGCGCCTGCCTCTACAGCTGCTACAGTGCAACAGCAGGATGCTCTTTTCGGCGTCGCCTTCCACTGCTGCGCATTCATATACGAGGGATGCAGCAGATTATCTAACCGTGCATGCTGCAATGGATCGACCACAATCAATCAATGCTAGTTGCTAGGCCATGCGCACCTCTACGATGACTCTCTGCAACGGCCGTTGCCGGAGAGGCCGAGACTGAAACAGAGTTGGATCAAACCTCAGGTTGCATTGATCTCAGTAATGCATATTTACTGTATTACAACTCTGTAGCCTCTACTGAAAAACCCCTATGCGGGGGAACCAGGTCGTCTGCAGTTGGCCAGCTCGACTTGTCTCTGCGGTCGCTCGATATCTGGCCGTTCAGTGGTATCCAACGACAGAGCATTTGCGCTGTCTCCACACTGCTCGCTGGGCTTCGATATCAGCACGGCGCAAGCAGGTCAGCTGCGTGAGCTCCACGAGCGCGGAGGAGGCGATGGTAAGGCTACGGCACAAGTTCCTTGGTCGACGACGCAAGCTCGAGCAGCAGGGCCCATGGCCGGCGCAGGCGAAACATCTGGTTGCAGCGCGAGCTCCGTGGTCGGGGGCACGAGCTCGAGCTGTCAATCAGTATGGTCATGGCCGGCACGGGCGCAACATGGCTGTGGCGCCGGCGCGAGAGAGGGAACAGCCGGGCTTTGCGTGAGCTGCACGCTCCACGCTGGGCGGTGCGAGCTCCATGGCTAGTAGGTCTCGGTGGGTGGGCATGAGGATGGCAGCCCGATCCGGTGTCGCACCTAACGAGACGGGAGCACCGCGGCGCTCAGGTGATGCGCCCGGCGATGACGGAGGAGCCGCGTGGCCTGGCCTAGCGAACGAGAAACGGCGGCGGAGTTGCGAGGGGTAGAGCCGTGCGGGATGGGCTTACATGGGCCTGTTGGAGGCCTGTTAGATTAGCTTCTTTTGAGCTGACGATTGGATCAGATAGGAACGGCGTGGATGAATAACTGCAAACACAAGTCCATCCGGACAACTGTAGAGGATCTCATTCCGCATACGGAAGACAAGCGAGGCGCTGGTGAGCGCGGTGAGCGCGCGGCTAGTGCGCGACGTGGGCAAGCGCGGGCTGGCGCGTGGTCTGGTGACCGAGTCAAAGACGGAACTGCAACCTTCCGTTATCATAGACAATGGATGCGGACAGCTGTGCGATACATCTTTTTTTTCTTGCTTTTGGCTGTGTTTAGTCAGGTGAGATTTGGAAATTTGGCTACGGTAGTATTTTCGTTTTTATTTAGCAATTAGTGTTCAATCATGGACTAATTAGGCTCAAAACGTTCGTCTCGCGATTTCGAAACAAACTATGTAATTAGTTTTTTTCCGTCTACATTTAATGCTCCATGCACGTATCGTAAGATTCGATGTGATAGCTACTGTAGCATTTTTTTGGAATTTGGTTTTGGAACTAAACGTGGCCTTTTTCTTTGAACCTGAAGACTTTGAAGCACCTGGAAGGGAGTGTCGCCGAAGCCGGTGGAGTTACAGAAGAGAATTTCAGTAGCCTTAGCTTAGGCTTAGCCTTTCTTGTCTCTTTTGGTCCTGTGGACAAGTTATCTTTTAGCTTGTTAAAGGTCGTTTTGCTTTCTTGAAGCAACAAGTCTGGGAGTCTTCTCTTCTGTTCTGGGTGTTCTAGTTTGCTCGATGCAGCCGGTGATGTACACGGCGCTTTCAGTTTTCTATCCTTTCATTGGAAGCTGGTATTCCCAGCCACTTTGTATCGGTTACTTGTTGCTTTATAAAAGCAGGGTTTACCTCCGTCAAAAAAAAAAATGCGGACAGTAATGCGTAGAATCCAGCCTCCAGGAACGTATACTTCCTGCAACGTGGGTACGTGCTCGTCCTCAGCTACGGCAGCAGGTTTGTTTGACGAGATCACCGGCCTCTCCGTCCTAATTCCTGAAGGAAAAGAGTTCAGCTCCTCCCTACCCGCCGCCTCGCTCGTGTGTGTATATATACCCTACCATGCCGGCCTCCCTGCCCATCCCAAATCCACAACGACTACAGAAACAGGCGGCAAACAAAGGACAGCTAGCATGGGTCCAGCTCGCCACGCCGCCGCCGTCGGGGCGCTCCTCGCCGCCGTGGCGCTCCTGCTCTCCGCCGCCGTCCCGGGTGCCAGAGCGCAGGCAGAAACTGCAGGTTAGTTGTTCGATCGTATGCATGACGTGTCTTGCAACCCATGCGTGCACCGGTGCACGTTCTGCACCTACCTGCCCATGGTCCATGTACGTGTGTATGACTGGAGGGAGCATGCATTTTGTTGGTCGTTGCAGAGCGTGAGGAGGGGTTCAGCTACATCCCGGGCGCGGATAACGGTCCGGAAAACTGGGGCAAGATCAAGCCGGAGTGGGCCAACTGCAGCGTGGGGCGGATGCAGTCCCCGATCGACCTCTCCCACGAGCGTGCCAAGCTGGTGCAATCCCTGGGCTACCTGAAAACCTCCTACCGCCCCGCCCAGGCCACCATCGTCAACAGCGGCCACGACGTCATGGTACGTGATGACTTGCTGCTGAGATCGGGACACCGGCGGACGGGCGGCGGCTAGTAGATATGCTGCTAACCAGCCGCAGCCGGGATCGGAGCACTACCAGTAGCTATCACAGCACATAATATATAGCAGGAATAGGACTATTGATGAGACTGGCCGGCCGGTCGCTGATGACGCCGGCTGCGATTGGTTGCATATGCATGCAGGTGAGTTTCAAGGGCGACGCCGGGAGCCTGGTGATCAACGGCACGACGTACAACCTCAAGCAGCTGCACTGGCACACGCCCAGCGAGCACACCATCGACGGCCGCAGGTGATTTGAGGGTGTCAAGCTAGTAGCTAGCTAGCGCGCTAGCTAGCTCCAAATAACGCTCCTATTAAAAAGTCCTAAACAGACGATCAAACGGTACTAATGGCTCCGAGACGCGAGCTCGATCGCATGCAGGTACGACCTGGAGCTGCACCTGGTGCACCAGACCTCGGCGAACAAGACGGCGGTGATCGGCATCCTCTACGGGATCAGCGTCATCAAGGACCGGTTCCTGCTCTGGCTAGAGCCCTCCATCAGGAGTATCGAGAACACGAAGGACCAGCCGAAAGACATCGGGGTTGTAGACCCCAACGGTGCGCGCGGCTTCGGCAGCGTGTACTACCGCTACATGGGCTCGCTCACCACGCCGCCCTGCACCGAGGGGGTCGTCTGGACCGTCGTCAACAAGGTACATACGCTCCGGCTCTTGTTTGCTTCACCGGCCGGGGTGGCGTGGGCGAGGGAAGCTAGCTGTTACTGGCGTTTACTCAAGCTAAGCTTTCAAGTGCATGCTTTGTGTGCAGATTAGTCCCGTGGCCAAGGACCAGGTGAAGCTTCTCAGGGATGCGCTGCAAGACGTAAGAGTCCATCTCCATAACTAATTTCCACACGCCTGATCTGACCAAAAGTCAGTATGAACGGACACTGGTTTTGGTTTTTGTAAGCTTATTAAAGTCCCTTTCTTGCGTGTTCTTATTACCTGCAGGGAAATACGATGAACGCGAGGCCGCTCCAGGAGGTGAACAACAGAGACATCAGCATCTTCCGCCCCAAGCCCCAAGATTTTTACTAGTGATGCATCGGCTGATCAACAGAGATACCATATATCACATTTCGATACCTTATTATAGCAGACGACGATATATGTATCTTGTAATAATTCTCTATATGATGTTTATCTGTGTTGTAAAACATACAGACTCTATCCTATAAGAAAAAAGAAGGAGAAATTAAAATCACAGTCCGTTTGTATGTGAGCTTTTACCAAACTCTTAGGTCTTAATAGGACTATATATATATATATATATGGGAGCTTTATATTGTAATCACCAATATTAAGACGAATAAAGAATAGTCTCTCTATCTCTTGTGTATATGTGTTCTACTTTTATCTACTATGTTTTTATTATGAGAGACGGAGAGGAAAATGTTCTAACCGCTGACAACATATTCTCTGTATTTTTTTTACATGTATTAGTTTTATCTTAAGTCAAATATTTGTATCTTTGACCATAGATTTCAAAAAATTTATATAGGTTAATGGCATAAGATTTATATTTTAGATTCATTACAAGAGATACTCTCATAGTCTATAAACTAACACAAACTTTTTATTTTTTTAAAATTAATTAATTAATTCACTTAGAAAAAGAAAAAAAAAATTCTTAAATCGCCTCATCACGGGAGACATGACATGACATGATTTATATAGTATAATTTGAATCCCACCATATGTGACATAAGCATGTAACTTTTCGTTTCCATCGTACTCCACATGACAGCTAACGTTTTTCCCAACATATGTGACAAGTAATGTGCAATGTGTTTTAGAAGATCTTTTATAATTTTATGTAAGGTAGTTTACATTTCGTGTCAGCATAACATACATACTCGACTACTCCCTCTGTCCTAAATAACTGTTTTTTTTTTTCCGTGCCGTAAGTTTGACTAGATTTATAGAAAACATATGCAACATTCGTATCTCCAAATAAATTTATTGTGAAAATAGATTTAACGATCTATCTAATAATATTAATTTTGTATTATAATAATTATTGTTTTTTATATATATTTAGTCAAAGTTGTTTCTTGGAAAACGAAAACGACAGTTATTTAGAGCTAGAGGGAGTATGTAATGTATTAGAGCAAGGCTAATAATAGTCGGCTTGCTGGCTGTAAGGTTCTTTGCAGCCTTCTCTCAGCTCACCCATATAGTAGTTAGCTCTTCAGTTAATACATGGTCCACTTGTCTCTCTCACATAGTTTTTTTTGTTATTGTGCCTAGACCGGCTGTAAGCTTACAGCCCGCTTCTCCTCTAGAAATTACTGTGGCCTCAAAACTCATCAACAATTGTCTTGTGTCAGATTGACCATCAAATGTTTGTAGCCTATTAAACTTGTATCCCAAGGGCTATTGTGCTAGTTGCAAATTTATTGATAGAGGACAGCTTGTATCAATTGATATGAATGATCTTTAGGAACTTATTTTTCGAAGCTTTTGCTGTTGAATTTGGGTCGTCCACATTTATGAATTCGTGGCTTGTAGTCTAAATTTGTTCATTTAGATGGTGAAGAGTCGCCTTGGCTTCTTCTATCTTTTACTTTATTGACTTTTCCCTTGTTATTGCTCGACATTCTTTGAGTTCCTTTTGCGTTGCTTGTAATTGGTCTTCTAACTCCTTGAGCCTTTGTTATTCGACTTTGCTTGCCTTCAAAGAGTTTTGACCCTAAGGTGCTATTGGGGCACGGATACATTGGTCGCGAAGACAAATTCCCTCTTATAACCTCTTCGTCATGCATCTGATATACAACATAGAATCACAAGTTATTACTCTCGTTTTTGTTCTGGATAGGCACTCTGTAGGAGCCTTCGGGCACACCTATATGACTATGCGAAGGCCTCTGGCCGACGAAGGCTCATTGGTGAAGGCCTAGAGTTCGCCTCAATGTGGAACGTGGGAGAATGACGCAAAGGTCGCTGTGGGGAAAGATGGCGAGTTAACTCAGAAGCCAAGGAGAACTGTCGGAGATGGAGTCTTCGCCTTCCACGTTCAAAGCTCCCAAGAAGGATGAGCGCCATGGGGCTACTGTGCCTCCAATAGGCTCAACACTAAGGCCCATGAAGCAAGGCGGTTAGAGGAGAGAAGACCGAGATGCCCCCAAGGACTTGAGAGATATGGGTATATCTCTGAAATATGCCCTACTAATTGCAAGGCATAGATGTAAAAGAACTCCCTTATGTACAGTGGCCTATAAAAGGGGGAGCAAACCCCATGTAAAAGAGAGATCCATGAATGAATGAAACCCTAATTGTGCCTTGTGTTCATTGTTGGAGTTCGACCTTCGTCTGAGCGAAGACTCCCTTGCACTCAACCTGCTAGGAAACAATTTCCCAACATTGGCGCCCACCATGATAGGCCAAGTACAAACTCAATATGCCAACCAAAAGACAAGCCTCCACCTGGGCACAAGCAGAAACATCAACTAGGGGAAGGTCCAAGCGCACAACTCGTTGCACGTATGCTAGTGCCTCACAAACTCAAGCCAATGAAGAGGAGGAGGCACCTTTCATCCAACCCACAACTAAGGCTAATCAGCCCAATCCAAACCTTACGCCGGAGTAGGTGCTCCAACAGCTACAGGCTGATCTACAGAATGCGCAACAAGAAAGGGACAGCTGACAGTAGCCTTCGCCGTGAGCCAAAGGGCAATGCAGGTGTCACAACAGGCAGCGGAGGTCTGTCAGCAGCTAGAAATCTTACAAACTGAAATTCAGAGCTTACAGCCAAACCAACCCCCCATCAAACAACTCCAATCAGCCCCAACCTGCACCTCAAAGCCAACCAAATCCTTCGCTGAGCTCTGCAATCCAACCAACCTTTGGCACACCATATACTCTGCCATCAGTACACAGATCTATAGATTCAAAGTCCCCATTGTCCGAAGGACTTCAAAGCTCCCCATGGCCATCTTCTTACAAACCTATCACCCTACCCAAGTTCAATGGAAAGATAGACCCACGGCAATTCATCATGAGTTTTGAGGCAGTCGTAGCCTCCGTCAGCATAAATGAATCAGTCCTAGCAAAATCCTTTGTCATCGCTGCCAAAGGCGACACCCTTACATGGTACTCAATGCTAAGACCTAGTTTAGTGTATTCCTGAGAGGACCTCCGTGACAAGATCATGGCCAACTTCAAAGGGTTCTCAAGCGAGTCCTTAACATCCTCAGACCTCTTCTAGAGCAGACAGCTGCAAGGGGGAACTCTAAGAGAATATTACCATAAGTTTGTACAACTCAAGGCAAAAGCACCAAGCATATCCGAGGACATAGCCATTGAAGCAGTGATTAAGGGCCTTCGAATAGGAGCCTTCACAGGTCACTTGGCCAGAGAGAAGCTCAAGACCATTGAAGAATTGCACAATGAGTTTAAAAAGTACTGCAGATCTGATAGCGACCTTCGTAAGAGATTGGAAGAAGAAGGACAATACAAGCAAATTCAAGGCAACAACAGAAACACGTCAAGAGATAGGCGAGGCCAGAATCAATATCAGCAGGGGTTTGACCAATAGGTCCTCAACATAGACCACCAGGGAAATAACCAGCAAACTCAGCAACCACCTAGGACTAACCAAAATGCTAGGCCATAGGGCCAGCACTACAATAGGAGAAACAATTGTTGATGGTCCTTAAACACCAATTTTAACCATCAACATTGCATCAAATTGGAAGGAAATCAACACCATACTAGCGATTTATGTTTACAATTGACCTATTTCCACTTGTACTTGGAGATCTTTGCCTATGCAGAAAAAACACACAAAAACATCAAATATCAAGCACTAGAAGCAAGTGGAGCAAGGCAGGGCCACCAAGGGCCACTTGGTGGGGTCGCCCGACCCCAACTGGCGTCAGCCGACGTGGCAACACTTGTGCCACCTCACCAATCTGTGGGAGTGGCCAAGAAACACACTCTCAAGCTCATCCCACTGTTGGTTTCAAGTCAGTGCAAGATCAAAGGCTGAAAATGTGCATCACATGGATTGTGGACACACCATGCTTATGTCGATGCTCAAATGAACAAAGCACCTTCATACCCACACTCTACTACACCTCAAGGGGCCTCACACCTAAGGAGGAGGGGCCATTCATCAGTGGGGGGTCACCCAATGCCCTCCCACGTCGCCCAATGGCCCATTTCCACCAAACCGACTCTCCTTTGGACACATGCAAGAAAACACAGTGTGAAGCAACGTGGTGTGTCAATTAAGGCGGTTTCATTG